TCTCTCTCTCTCTCTCTCTCTCTCTTTGAAGCGCAATAGCTAAACAGTGAATAAGTCAAAGGACTTAGTAATCCTACGATCCTTTCTCCGAGGTTTTTCACTGTTCGTTTTTCTAATTTATTTATTTCCACGTATAGAAAACAATCTTCGCAGGATGATTATTCTCTGGACGATTGTCTTTGGAAAATATTAATACTAATATATATTCATTTATTACGAACTCTGTGGAACTTCTCGAAACGTACGTAGATGTCCAGGCTCGTAAAATCATCTTCAACCTACCTAATCTCAAACTTCAAGCTTCATCATGTATCGAGAAAGTCTTCGTTAATGGCGATACATATTGTGTGTGTTTCTCTACTGTGTTTCTATCTGTGTCTATTTGTCTCTTCGTGAAACTCGCTCTCTGTGTGCCTTCGTCGAGCTTTCTCTCAACTCTCGTGTCGTCAACGTCTGTCAACTCGATGGAGAAATTGCAAAAAAAAAACAAAAAAAAAAAAAAAAAAAAAAAGATAAAAAAAAACAGAAAAAAATGCACAGGAACAGAAAGATGGAACATGTACGATTCTTGCAGCTTGCAGAGAGAACGAATTCGAATGCACCCCGGGCTTTTGCTTGCCCGTGTTGAAAGTCTGCGATGGATTCATGGATTGTGGAAATGGGAAGGATGAGGAAAATTGTCAGCACATAAGTACGAAAGAAATAACTACAACACAATTCTGTACGGTATTTGAAGCCTGCAAACGGGGGAGGAAGTTTCTCTAATCGCCTGTGAAAGCATGTGAATGAAAGAGGCGCACGCATGTCTCTTCGCAAGTGTCTGGTTTCACATACGTTACTCATACGGAACGTGCAACCTAACCTAATGTTTTAAAATTCGCTCACTTGCCTCTTGACATTTTTTTTCCCCTGGTTATGGAGTAGAATTCCAAGAATTCGGCTAACATTGTAATTTTTACGTTGATTTTATGATGTTACGAAATTTATGGAAAGGTTATAATGTGTTAAAAGACAAATATCACTGGATAATTTGTTTTACGAAATTTTTAAACAAACGGCACGAACAACGGCCAGTTTTATATATTTTTACGTGCAGTTTGAGAGGCAGCGACGAATCTTAAAGCATGGTGACGCTAAAGTAAGAAACGGAGAAGATATTAATTAGCGAGGGTTCGTAAACGGTGATGCCAATTGAAATATATAAATGCTCCTCCGCAGTTCGAAGAGTTACCCTCCACGGAGAAACTGAAAATTTCCTTTCAACATTCGACGCGTTTTCTGCGTCAGTCGAAGCGGATAAATTGTCGTGGAACGATACGTACCGGGTGTGAAACTTGAAAACCATTTTTCTCAATGAGAAACATCGAAAGAGACGGCTATAAAAGATAAATTTCATCGCGTAACATTATGTAGAGGGTGAGTCAGTAATACGGAAAATACAAAAGAAGATGAACAATAATAAGAGCAATAACAATAATTCTTATTATTGTAATAAATGAAAAAGAATAATTCCTTTAAGAAAGGAAAGTCACAAAATTAGAGACTGCTTAACGTGTCATATCATAGAATAAATTTAATCAAAAATACAAATCTCAATTAATTGAGATCGAAAAAATATAAATTTCCATTCCCTTTGTTAAAATCTGATTTCCTTGGAAAGAACTTTCTAATTTCTCGCGTTAATTGAGAAAATAGCACATACGTAGGTTTAACGGGTAACACCCGGTACGTCGTAAAACGCGCGAGAAACAAGCAGAAAAGAACAGGGGATAACGCGCGGACGCGGCGCGAGACTCGATTTCAAGTGAAACGGAAGATTCGTCGCCTGGTTATTCAACCAAATAATCGTTCGAACCGTAGCATATTACTGGCCCTGATAATGGACGCTTGTTTCTCGAGTAATTAATTGCACGGCTACGAATAAGAGCAGTCGTAATCGTTCCCCACCCCCACCCTTTAGAATCTTATTCCCCCACCCCCTCCTCCTTCGGCCATTCTTCGCGTCGAGATGAGGCGCAACGAAATAATCCGATTCATTATCGTCGTTCCACCTGCCTAATTATCCGCCGTGAACAAGCGCCGGCCCGATAAACGATGGACCCTCCGTTAAACTCTGTTTCATCTCCACTGACCGATCAATCCTCCTTAGAATCAGTTTCGAACCGAATCGAACAGCGTGCAACTAGGTTAGGTCTGCCAGTCTCCATTGAATCACTGAATCCTGATACATGTTTTTGGAAAGGATAGTGCTCCGATGAAAGATGGCTTTGGGCTAAATTGAAAATTTTCGTGGAAATCAATGAAATTGTCTTTTTCATTTTTTCAAACTATAATGAGTAATTTTGTGAGTAATCTGTGTACTTTTTAATTTAGATATTATGTTACTGTTTATTAGGAGGACGAACTAACCTGTATTCAGATCGGGATACTTGTTTTTATTCCTGAAGAACAGTCCGTTAAAGAAATTCGAAAGACGGATTTAACTTTTAGAAATTACATTGCCCTCTTAAACGATAATTTAATATATATAATTTCTAATATATATAATTTCTTCCTTTCGGTTTTCTAAGTTTAGTTTAGCGAGTTCGTTGCGCCTTGTCGTTGAGTTTTCTTTGCTTTTTATTTCACCATTATGAATGTTTTGTTCATCGTTATTTTTTGGTTCCCCGCGTAGCTCTGTGTCGACCGGACCAGTTCCAGTGCTTAGACGGAACTTGCGTGAGCCAGACCGCGAGATGCGACGGAAGATCCGACTGTCGAGATCGTTCTGACGAAACCAATTGCACCGGTACCATTATGTTCCTTTTTATTTGATTTTCACTGGACCGTGGATTGTTCTAAAATCGACGATCAAAGGCATACTAAAATATAATCCTCTCCACGGTTCAGTTTTATTTTTTGTTAATTACAAGAAACTTTATTACTATATTATTATAATATCTAACATGCTGTTACTACTTTATATACTGTATTAGTATACTAGTATAATACTTAACTACTAATACTAATTATTCGTATAACTAGTAATAGTACTAGTAAAAATACTTGTATACTAGTTGTATACCATACTATCATACTAGTAAAGCTATTACTATGCTAATTACTAATACTTGTAATTATTATTATTACTATGTATTAGCGAAAGTACCAATAAAAGTACTTATATAAGTACTGTTACTACACGGTTCAGTTTTATTTTTTGTTAATTACAAGAAACGTTATTACTATTACTATATTATTATAATATCTAACATGCTGTTACTACTACTTTATATACTGTATTAGTATACTAGTGTAATACTTAACTACTAATACTAATTACTCGTATAACTAGTAATAGTACTAGTAAAAATACTTGTGTACTAGTTAGCATACTATCATACTAGTAAAGCTATTACTATACTAATTACTAATACTTGTAATTATTATTATTGCTATGTATTAGTAACAGTACCAATAAAAGTACTTATAATTACTATTATAAGTACTATTACTACTTTATAACTACTATTGTTAGTGCTAAACACGACAATACATATTGAAATAATCATAATTCCTCATTCCTTTTTCTTTTTATTTCCAAGTAACCACCTGCAGCGGAGATCAGTTCAGGTGTCTGGACGGAACTTGCATCAGTATCGACAAGAGATGCAATCAGAACATAGACTGTCGCAACGGAGAGGACGAGAGCCAGTGCGGTGAGTCATTCTATTCACGTCTCTTTACGAGAAAAGAAGAGAAGACGAATTATTTTATTGTTCATCACCGCGACACGTTAGGAATCTTTAAGAAACACGGATTCCAATGATCTGATGGAATCCTGTGATCGACGATACGATTGTGAATTGTGCCTGGTCTAAAGGGCCAGGCGCTTGATAGTCA